ACCCCAACATGCACACAAAGATCCTGCACGTCTGCTTATAATCTGTAGGAATTGGAAGAGGGTTTTTTTTGTTGCTCCTTTCGTTACTGAGATTCTCTTCTTTTTCTGAGGGAAAGGTCAGCGGCTGGGGCAAGTCGCCTGGTGTTTGTGGAGCAGCAGACCATTGCTGTGTGGTGAATGTAATTATGACACACTGACAATCTGATAAGGTAGCAGTCTCTCTCAACACAAGGAAAGTGCAGTGGCATATTACACGTGGCTCAGCAAACGTGTCTGTGAGCAGAGAACAATGCAGTAGGGTGGGAGAGGGGCTACTCCGACTAAACTTTAAAAATGTAAGATTTTTAGACATCAGTTAGAGCTGAAATCTGTTTTTTTTCCCAAAGAAACTTCCTCTGCAGTGCCATCATTAAAAGGAAAAAGCAGTCTTTTGTCCAGGTAAGTTTCTAATTGTGACCATCCCAGCCAAGAGGATGGCTGCAACTGACATTTTCTTTACACAGCTGGTGTTATTAGTCATCCATTTGAAACCCTTCAGAAAAGCTTGGGGCTTGACAATAACAAGGGAAGAGTCGTGTGCTGTTCCTGAAGGCAGCACTTCTCCCTGGGGTGCTGCCTTCTGTCTGTTAGGAGGCCAGCTCTTAACGGCTCAAGTCAGGGCAAAATATCTATCTATATATAAAACCTCCTGTGAGAGCCACCGCCACAGATTACATGACAGATTGTAACATAATTGGCTGCAGCCGTGCTCCGTGTGATGGATGTGAGGTGTGTCTCACTGGAGCTAAGTGGTGGCTTCAGCGAGTCCGAGTTAGTCAAATGAAAAGTGGAGATCTTCATAAGAAATGTGCTGATGTTCTACGTGGAGCACAGAAAAGTGAGTTTTTCCTCCCAAAATGAAGCCAATCTGTGATAAAGATGCTGCACCGTGCACATCGAAGAGCTAAATGCTGAGTAGCTGAAGAGAAGCACAGATGCAACCATCTAGTTTACCACAAGAAGTTAAATTTAACACAGAGAAGTTGTAACAAACACAATAGTTCCCCTGCCACCAGTGAGGCCAGGTAATTCTGGCCTGGTTACTTATTCCTTAATTATGATAAACATGAAATTATTGTTTTTGACCCTAAAACGTAAGCTACTCAATTTCCAGCCTCCTCATTTTTCTAAAGGTGTGGTTCACTCATTTCATCAATACATTTGCAGTGGTCTCTAGTAGGAATGCATGCCTTGTAGTCGTTCTGGGGGGGTGGGTTCCAATACTCGCACTGCACCCTACGGTCCTCAGCGTCATCCACCGCGACACATGCCGGCATGCCGGTTGCTGTTTGTGCTACTTTAAAAAAAGTCTTTATTAACAACTTTCAAACAAACAATTATTTGACAAAACTTGCATCTATTGCTGTCTGCATTAAATCTTAGTCTCAAACATTCAGAACAGGGATAAATATGGATAAAAATCATTAATCATCTTAAAATGTTTTGTTTCATTTTGAGTAAAAGAGGAAATGATAAAAAATGTGGTTCTAATATTGAAGATTTGGATTTCCACAAACATTCCAAATGCTTTTTTCCCTGAAAGGAAGAAGAAAAATGACCTTGTTTATTTTTAATCCTACTATTTTATTGTTGATCCTGCAGCCTGTGAAATTGTACTGAATGATAATAAAGGGAGACTAGAAAGTTTTTGCTTGCTTTTAGCACCCCTTAGTGTCCATTTGTAGAACCAAAAGGTAAACTAATCTCGCTGCACGTTCGTCTTTTTAACACCTTAATCCAACAGCTGAAATGTCTTCCAGCCTTCATTAGTGTCTACAGGAGCGGTTCATCACTAAAAAAAGAAATCAGCTCTGTTCATGATTTAAAACATGCGGGAAACGTGCTGGAGGCAGACTGCAGTGGCAGTGCCGTCAGCTCAGTCCCAACAGACTGGATCGGCTCTTGAGCCATTGCTCCACCTTCTTCTCAAAATTCCCATGCAGCAATGGTTTGTGGGTAATACAATTCGTCGAAGACCGTGTTGATGCAGACTTCGGCAAAGTGTGGATCACGGGTGCAAAGAGGGCGTGTTCAACTTCCACAAAATCATCAAGTCATTTTATGCTCTGATTACTCAGACATCGGCCTCATCTTAGTAACACTCCCTTCTAGAAATGCTGTTGGGGCCACACAAGATCACTCTGGGCCACTAAGGGTCCCTGGGCCACTAACTGGACATGCCTGTCCTAAAGACACACCAACAACCTGGAGCTCGATTTGTTAGTGTCACCTGCTTGCTTTATGAATTGTTTTTATCATGTATTTATTTAATGACATCCCCTAATTATAAATTCATATTTTAAATGTTGATGGAATCTATTCTAATATTGCTTTGTTGAAAATGATTTTGCAATGTTTTTAATAAATTATTTAATTATTTTTTCTATTCTTTTGGACAGCAGCAAAATAATTTGAGATTTATTTCTATTATTGATTAACCGCTTCTGACAACTGGTTGTCCTTTTTACTTTTTAAGATTAGGAACAGTTTTATGCGCCTAAACAACATTTGTGCATGAACTCTGTCTGCTGTTTTAAACAAAGTTGCGTTCCTTTAACTTGTCAGAGAACATTTTAGTTCCCTTATCTCACTGAATCACTGAAGTGTTATGGGGGCAGGAAGGAGGTGGTTACACAAAAAAAAAAACCTTCTAAATATGGAGATGTTTAAAAAACAAGGTACACATGAATATTATTTTATTTTTCAGGACTTTACTATAACCATTATTGCACCAAATGGATGAAATTTAAAGAATTACAAATCTCATGTCTTAAACCATTTGTGAAGTTTAAAGGGTCAAATAGGTCACACGTGAAATGTACTTTATTAGTAAAGATGTGACACTTTCATAAATCTGGATCAAGCCAGACCTCTAATTACTGCTAACACACGTGCACTTCCATGGCTGATTTATTTTCCTCTAAATATGAATATCTTTGATCAGAAAGAGCTTGTACTGAACTCATCCGTCCACTAAAGTTTGCCGAATATTTTAAAAACAGGAGGCACAACAACTGGAAGTCTTTTATTTCCTAAGGTGATGACCCGACTAGCCGAGGGAGCTGCCTGATTCCTGCTGTGGCAGCGAGCGGTTATTTAGATATCTGAGCTGTTCTGAGAGATCTGTGTGAGCAGGAACAAAGGGTCGGCTGATCCAGGCAGAAGGAGGCATCCTCAGAGAACCAGCAGCTCTCCCTGCACTCATTTATTTTGTTCTTCAGCCATTCATTCTCTCATCTTTTTTATTCACTGTAATTATACCTGCTCTGCCAAGCGTGGCTCGGGGCGTGGCTCACCCAAATCACTTGTTAATGTGCAGAGTTTGTGTGTGTGTGTGTGTGTGTGCATGTGTGTGTGTGTTTGGAGGAGGTCTCCTCGCTGACGGTCTCTGTGGAAACATTAGGGTGTAAGCAGCCTCCACCTGTATGTCACTCCTGGGACGAAGAGGCCTCGCCTTGGGGAATAATGTGAGTATGTGAAGTGAGGCTTTGATTCTTCTAAACGTACCTTCTGTAATTACAGTTTCATAATGAAGAAGTCAGCGTAACAACTAAAAACGGCTTTCTTGGGATCGTTTAACAGCTTCAATTAACCTGCAGTTTCCACGACGACACAAGGAAGGAACAAATAAACCAGCGTGCATTATTACAAATAACCTTCTCATCTCAAAGTCTGGCGATGTCGTCTCTGAACAAATGTCTGCCAGATGAGATTTCCTGGCAGGATGAGTGAAACTGAAAGTGTGACGCCGCTCCTTCAGCTGATATTTGTCACGAGACACACAGAGCATCGGCACCAAACCAGACACACGGGGCCTCTTCTTCCACATCACCACATCACAATGAAAAACTGTCAAAACCAAAGCCGAAAAGCACATTCCACCGCCCTGAAAACACTAACACATCAGCTCTGCTGCTACACACAGATGTGAGGGAAATCTGTGCTCGAACGACGCTGTTGTTCTTAAAGATTTACATTTAGCTGCAGGCGTTGTGGGGCCAGTTCTGAGAGATGGTGTGAGGGAGAAACAAAAGGAAAGCTAATATCATTTATATATTATGCATTTTCTCTGAAAGGCCGAGGAAGTTCACAATCCTTCCTGCGTGCAGACCAAACAAACATCATTAATTTAGACTGCTAGACAGCAACAAGCATGGCAGACCCTTCAAAGGAACACCACACATTAATTATTAATCTGCACTATAGTGGACAGCACGAAAGAACAGAAGCTGACAGCAGCTATAAACACTAAATAGGAGACACTTTTCCCTCACGAAGGCGTCGCTCCAGTACAACAGCACTACACGAAAAGCTGAGCCGCTTCAGCTCATTTCCATAAAAGCTCTCTGCGCGCCCCACGAGAATCTCGGGTTTGGTTTGCCTTCATTTGCATGTTCCACAGAATGTCACACATCTTGTTTCCTTTTTTTTTTGTTACATCTGTAGCTGAAGCATATTGAAGTGATTACAGTATTCACCGTAGTGTGATGACTGTGAAACGTGCCAACTGGCTGCAGCGCCGAGACACCGTTCCAGGGAAATTCACACCACAGGTTTTGTGTTAGACTCCCCTCAGCAGGAGGCAAACTGAAGGGGAGATAACACAACTCTCATCACCTGCGTGCCTCCAGGTAGAAGCTCATTTCAATTCAAGAGTTAAGACTTCACTGCAGCTGCATGCTTGCTAATGAAAATAGCACTTAAACAGTTACTGTGGAGATAAAAACCCTCCAAAGGCAGCTGAAAACATTTTGCACGTTTCTGAACTTGCTGACAAGTCAGGGTGAGATTTAGAGTTTGTCGTGTGGTTCGTGCCTTCTGGAAAAAATGTCTGTGTGTGTGTGTGTGTGTGTGTGTGTGTGTGTGTGTGTGTGTGTGTGTGTGTGTGGTCATGAATCCCTGCATGAAAGCTCATGGATCATGTCCGTTTCAGTTCAGTAATTAAAGTCCTTCACTACAGATACCAGCAATCCAGAGGCCTTTTATTTAGCTAAATACCTTCACAAAAAAGAGCAATCACATCCATCTACTAAATCCAGACAATATACAATAATATAGTATAATACACTATACTATAATCAGTCAGAAAGGCATCGTCTACTTGATGTCACATAGTCACTATTAAAAAGAACAAACTCAGGCAGTAAAGCATATCTCTGTGGCAGAAACAAAGAGAAGGAGCGTTTTTCACCAAGTGTTCTTTCATATTAAAGTTCTGTAAAAACAGGACGTCACTCAGGGGCTACAAAATTCATTCATTGTCCATGCAATGTCACGAAGAAGAAATATACAGTTTGCAGCCACGTCCATGTGAGACATGCAGCAGAGACTACATGAAGAGTTGTGACTGAGCCGTTGGGGGAGGAAGACTTTCATGCAAATCTTTATAAACTTTCCACTGCAGGGTCCCAGTTACTCTAGACATCCGAGTTAATGCTCAGGTTGGTTAAACGCGGGTCACAGTTTATCTCGTACCGATAGTGGTACCCCTCCATGTGGTCCCTACAAGCATCCCGGATGTTGTGCATCCACCTCCTGATGCCCTTCTTGTTCAGGTAGAGCACCAGCAGGAATATGACACCAATCAGAGCCAGCACTAGTCCCAGAAACACGTACGAAGTCTCCAGAACGCTCTCCATGTCAGTGTAACACTTCAGCTTTGACGGCTCCACCTGCAGCAGCAGCCGGTGTCTAAAGGCCTCAGGGTCCGAGCAGGTCAAGTTGTGCACATCCACCACCTGGGTGGAGTTTTTCAGCCATGCCAGAAGGTCTTCAATGAAGCAGTTGCAGTGCCATGGATTCCCCGCCAACTGGATGTGGAGGTCAGGATTGAGGCTGAAGTCTGCTAGGGTGGTGGGGGGAAGATCCCTCATGCTGTTGTCCCTCAGGTCTAGGTCATGCAGCAAGGGCAAGGTCAGGTTGTGGATGGTGAGGAGGGAGCTGTTCCTCAGGTTCAGAGTGGCCAAGCTCGAGAGGCTGCTGAAGATGCCGTCTGGTAGAGTCACCAAATAATTATTGGACAGGTCCAAGGTGGTGAGATTCAGGAGTTTTGCACTGTGGAACAATGAGAGGACCTCATCTGTTAAGTGGTTGTTTAAAGACCCACTCAGGTTCAAAAACTGCAGTTTATTATCATCAGGGAAAGAACTGTTACTAAAGCTCTGGATTCTGTTGTCACTCAGGTCCAACTTAGTGAGATTTGGCAGGTTTTTAAATGCCACTGCATCCACATGCTCCATCTTGTTGCTACTGAGATAAAGATCTGTCAAGAGGTCCAGACGGCTGGGGAAAGAGGCCTCACTAATTCTGGAAATGATGTTCCCTGTGACGAACAGCACTTTAGTGGTGGTTGGGATGGAAGGAGGAATCTCGTCCAAGCCCTGGTTTTGGCATTTTACAGTTTGTGATAAGCACGTGCATTTGTCCGGACAGGAGGCGGCGCAGGACGGCACCATGAGAGCCAGGAGGAAAAGCAAACGCATCATACCGGACCTGTGGTGAGGTCTCCCCGGGTCCTCTCCTCGCTTACGCGCCGCGCTCCACAGGCGCATCTTGGAGCTTCATAAATCTGAGCGCGCAGAAGAAAGCTGCTTCTCAACAAGTCACTGCCTCGTCCCAACTTTTCCCACCTCAGTCCCTGTAAAATCCACTCTCAGCTTTAAGTCCAGCTGTTTCCTGTTTGTGGGATTCGCTGTAACTCCATACAACTGCCTCAGACAGTCCGTGAGCGAGAGAAGCCTACATTTCCAAGAAGAAGCGAACAAACTTCTGTTACGTCGATCTGAGATCCCCTTCCAGATCTGTTTCGGCTCCACCCAGAAAAACGCTGGTAAAAACGGGCGGACCACTGGCGGGCGCTACAGAAAAGTCGCTCCGGCTGTTGGTTTACAACCCCTTTCTCTGCCGGAGGCGCTATCCAGCCTGGCGCTCTTCAAATCGCTGGGAGGGAAGGACCAAACAGCTGCAACATCACCGGGAAGGAGCGTACCATTTCTAAACCACAGGGGTGAACCGGACGGCGTCAACACCATTCCTCTGAAGAAATGGCAAAAATAAATGACACACAATCTAATCCGCTCACTTTCTTTTTTATTTTATGCAGTTCTGGTCAAGTTTAGTGACAAGTTAATGCAGCAGTTCATATATTTAAAAGTGAGGTTCTGCAGAAATGTGGAAATTATTTTCTGAAGGCAGCTCTTTAAACAGCCTGGGTTTGGAGAAAAAGAGATTACACTGTAATTTCATTTACTTTAGAAGTCAGAGCACAGTACTGGGAATACTGCCACACCTGGTTAACACTGTTGGAAACATTGGAATATGACTAAGGCTTGATTCATGCTTCTCCGTCAGCTCCACAAGGGACAGACACACATGGACTGATGGAAACGTTTAGCCCTCATACTCGTCTCCTGGGGAGTGTTGCAAAGCAATTCCCCGCCAGGACAGCAGAGGGCGTAGCGCTGTTCTGTGGTATCCTGTCATGTATCTGGTCCAAGATAGTGTGTTTATATTGTGTTTTTTTTTTGTATATATGAGACTTTTAAACAGAAAAAATTGTCTCTCGTTCTCCTCCACCTCTTCATGCGCTTGTCACCTCTAAACCCACGTTTCCTGTCATTTCCGTCCACAAATAAAATGCTTGCTGTGCATCTTTTCACTCCTCCAGTCACAGGGGAATTAAACGTTCATGCTCCGTGTCTGCCACTAGTTATTCTTGGCTCTCTTTATGTTTTTGAGGGCGCAATGGCGGCGGTGTAGACAACAGCGGTGCCTTGATCGATCACAAGCTTGCGTTCTCCGTCTCGACGGACGGATGTTTAGAAAAGAGAGCTCGACTCCGTCCGTCCTTGCGGGGGCTCTCCAGCAGGCTCGCAAGGACGGATAATGACGTTGTGTGTCTCCACACTGACGCAGACGGAGAAGCATGAAGCAGGCTTTAGTCACTCTAAAAAGAGCCTTTGCTTTGCTTGCTCTCTGAAAACTAATAAAGCATATCTAGTAGCTAGATTATCTGCAAATAATTCATGAACAAGAAATAAGAGGCAGGGTTAGGGGGTATTTGTTGCTTTTGCCATCTTTTATTGTGTTTGGTTTAGGACTGTCACGTTTGGTCGACTCGTCACAACAACGTAGACAAACTAAATAGTCAACTAATAAATTAATAGTAGATGCGTTCTTTATTTTATAACCATTTTTAAAATCTTGCCTGCTGTAGCACGTTTGGCAGTTGCTTCCTGCGTCTCTGCTCAACGTACATGATGCAGTCGCCATCCGGGTCAGTTGGCGGAGAACAAAGAGTTGTCTCGGTAAGTTTACCTCTTGTTAGCTGCTAACATCAACAGAGTTACTTGAATTCATAGATATAGTGACACCAGTAGCGGTGGTATGTCACGTCTTTTTGCTCTAATTGCAAATGCTAATTGCAGACGCCCAGCCACCTCTGCTGGCTGGGCGTCTGCTGCTGCTACCAGGACAAACACCACTGCTAGGGGGGCTACCGCCCCTGCTTTCTGGGCATCCACCACTGCTTCCTGAGCCAACACCACTGCTGGAGGGGCTTCCACCTCTGCTGGCTGGACCTCCACCTCTGCTATGTCCCGGCAACTTGGTCCAGTCTGACCAACATCAGAGCAATACTAAGACAACATCTTTTGCATATGAGGGACAAGTCCGAGAGGAGACCATGCAGGATTGGGACGCTAATGGCACCATGTTAATTGCAAACACTACCAAAGCAATAGCAACAATTAAATCAGTGGAACCAAGACTTGGGCAATCTACACATTATGGAAAAGCTAACAGTTGCCTGCAACATCAGAACGCAAGTAACCCAAAAATTACAAAAAAAAAAAAAAAAAAGAGAGAGAGAGAGAAACAATGCAATTGTGAAAAATCGAAAATGTAAAGTCTTTCAGACCTTGAATCATGCTCGTGTGTTATGGGACCCTAAAGCTAAACCAAAAGGCGTGTTTGGTGGAAACATAAACATTAGAAGCATCATACCAAAATGTTCACAGATACATCATCTATTAATTGAGTCAAATCTAGATTTTCTTTGCATTACAGAGAGCTGGTTACTTGCTAACTCTCCAACAGCTAGTCTAAATATATCGGGGTACAACATTTTTAGAAAAGATTGATCTGAAGGTAGAGGTGTGTGTGTGTGTGTGTGTGTGTGTGTGGGGGGGGGGTATTTTATGTAAAGGAAAGTCTCAAATGTAAGCAAATAGAGGGAACAACTATCGACGATCTAGAATGTATTGTTCTTAATGTAACACTTTCACCTCAAATGGAAATTACACTTATTGGGTTATACAGTCCCCCATCTACATCAAATATATTTTATGATAAGCTACAAGCAATCCTAAAATACTGTAACTGGAAGAGAGAAATAATCCTATTTGGAGATTTCAACATAAACTGGTTAAACAAATCCAACCGTGAGCAGCTCAAATCATTAACTATTGATCACAACTTTTCACAACTAATTAAAGGACCCACCAGGATAAGTAAAACAACTGAAACATGTATTGATTTAGTTTTCAGCAATAGGAGTGAAAGAATACACAAAACATACAATATGGTTACAGGTTTATCTGACCACAATTTGATACTCTTTTCAAGAAAACTCTCAAAAAACAGGTTTACACGGCCTCATAATAAAACAACTGTTCAAAAAAGTATTCCCAAAAGCAAATTACAAAATCTGGAAGTTGCATTAAATGAAATAGACTGGACAAAAATACTCACCCATACAAAAGTAAATGATGATTGTGATATATTTTTGACAACTCTACAGAATACGATAGGTCGATTTATGAAAAATACAAAACAGAGACCACATAAAATCAAGCATCTACCCTGGTTAAAAGGGGATATATGGACTTTAATGAAACAACGTGATTACGCCCTCAAGACTGCACTAAAAACTAAAACATTAAATGACAGACAAATCTTTACCTCACTTAGAAATCAAGTAACAAAAAAAATGAGAGATGCAAAGGCAGATTACTTTATAAATACAATAATCAATGCAAAAGGAAATACTAAAGAAATCTGGAATAACTTCAAAAAATTAACAGGAAATGTTTCAGTGAATATAACTCGTCGTCGTCGTCGTCTTCCTCCGCTTATCCGGGTCCGGGTCATGGGGGCAGCATCCCAACTAGGGAGCTCCAGACCGTCCTCTCCCCGGCCTTCTCCACCATCTCCTCCGGCAGGACCCCAAGGCGTTCCCGGACCAGATTGGAGATGCAACCTCTCCAACGTGTCCTGGGTCGACCCGGGGGGTCTCCTGCCAGCAGGACATGCCCGAAACACCTCCCCAGGGAGGCGTCCAGGAGGCATCCTGACCAGATGCCCAAACCACCTCAACTGGCTCCTTTCGATCCGGAGGAGCAGCGGTTCTACTCCGAGTCCCTCCCGAATGTCCGAACTCCTCACCCTATCTCTAAGGCTGAGCCCGGCCACCCTACGGAGGAAACTCATTTCGGCCGCTTGTATCCGCGATCTCGTTCTTTCGGTCATTACCCAAAGCTCATGACCATAGGTGAGGATTGGGACGTAGATCGACCGGTAAATCGAGAGCCTGGCTTTCTGGCTCAGCTCCCTCTTCACCACGACAGATCGGCTCAGCATCCGCATCACTGCAGATGCTGAACCAATCCGCCTGTCGATCTCCCGATCCCTCCTACCCTCACTTGTGAACAAGACCCCGACATACTTAAACTCCTCCACTTGAGGTAGGACCTCTCCCCCGACCCGGAGTTGGCAAGCCACCCTTTTCCGGTCGAGAACCATGGTCTCAGATTTGGAGGTGCTGATCCTCATCCCAGCCGCTTCACACTCGGCCGCGAACCTACCCAGCAAGAGCTGAAGGTCAGAGCTGGATGAAGCTAGGAGGACCACTTCATCCACAAAAAGCAGAGATGAGATTCTCCTGCCACCAAACTCGACACACTCCACACCACGGCTGCGCCTAGAAATTCTGTCCATAAAGGTAATGAACAGAACCGGTGACAAAGGGCAGCCCTGGCGGAGTCCAACCCTCACCGGGAACAGGTCCGACTTACTACCGGCTATGCGGACCAAACTCACGCTCCTCTGATAAAGGGACTGAATGGCCCTCAACAGAAAGCCACCCACCCCATACTCCTGGAGCATCCCCCACAGGGTGCCCCTGGGGACATGGCCATAAGCCTTCTCCAAATCCACAAAACACATGTGGATTGGTTGGGCAAACTCCTATGCCCCCTCCATCACCCCTGCAAGGGTATAGAGCCGATCCACAGTTCCACGGCCAGGACGAAAACCACATTGTTCTTCCTCAATCTGAGATTCAACTATCGATCGGACCCTCCTCTCCAGTACCTTGGAGTAGACCTTTCTGGCTGCGACCTACCAGGCTGACCCTAATGCACCACCATGACGGAGAAGAAATATTAAACAACCTTTAAGGTTTGTGTGTGTGTGTGTGTGTGTGTGTGTGTGTGTGTGTGTGCCTTTGTCTCTGTTTCTGCACATAAATAAAATAAACATTGGAATATAATGCATTTTATGATAAAATAAAAGGTTGCTGACTAAGCAACCAAGAAACTAATATTTTTTAAAGCATAAAACATTTTCTTTGTGTTAAATCTTAACCTACTTTGTTTGATATCACAGAATTATTAATCTGGTAAATAAACTAACTTTAATATATTTTACCTTTACGGTAAAGCAGACCCTCAGAGCTGTCGATGGCCCCTGACTGCTGATGTGTGGTCCAGCTGTGCTACAGTGGCGTACCTTGGTGTGTCCTGCCATTTCCTGCGTTATGATTGGAAGATGAAGTGCTTCAAATTTGCCACCATGCCTCTTGTGAACACAAGTCATTTTTGTGCACAATTTTTAGTTTTAGGTGCCTACCTCCAGTTGACTGTAGCAATTGTATTAACAGGTTACGAAGTTAATTAAAAGTTGATTGATAAGCTTTAATCTTGTCTTTACTATTAGATGGCACATAGATGATCACACTTCAAACTAGAAGCTAATGATAAGTATTTTAGAGCATCCTGGTGTAATAAGCAAAACTTTTATGAATGACACAATTAGTCAACATTAATTGTCAACAAAACTGGTGATTAGTCAACTATTAAAATAGTAATTTGTGGTAGTGAAGCACCGATATGAAATTTTTGGGCCGATACTGATGTCTGATATTAAGATCACTGTTATGGCCGATAACTGATATTTGCTGATACCGATATACTAACATTAATGCTTCTAAAATCAGCAGATTTTGTATAGAATGAAAATTATTAAAGCTGAACTTATGTTATTATGTACATAAGAACATAACACACACAGTTACGTTCTAAGATGATTACATTCACTGTTCACATGACTAAACAAATACACACCACCCCCTCACCCTCTGAAACAGGCAAACAAATGGAGACGAGATGGAAAAAATATTTGGTTGTCAATATCAGCCCAGTTTTATTTATTGAACCAATACAGATATGTTAAAAAATGACTAACATCAGCGGATACCAATATTGATGCTGATATATTGTCTATCCCTAGTTTGAGGCAGTCCTAGTTTGGTTAAGTTTTAATGCATTTAACCCTCTGGAGGCAGGCGTTGCAGATTTGCAACGTTAAAGCCTACCCACCTGGTTATTCCACATACATATTTCATGAGCATTTTTTAACTCGGAAGTACCCCTGAAGGACTTAGTTGTTTGTTCTTTTATCAAAACTTATTTTGAGCCTGAGAGGGTTAATGAAGGAAGATGTATTCCTCAATCAGCAACTGTAATTGTAGATTTCAAAGTTGGGGTTGATAAAGTTTCTATGACTTTCCCAAATGGGAAGTCCAACTTCAAGGGTTTTAAGCTAACTTTTCTGTGTCAGAACTTAAAAGTCCTGGTACAAATGGATGGACACATGAGGTAACAGCAAGTCAATACACAGCCTGATTCAGGGGTGGCACCATTTTATAAACTACTGTGTCATCAGCATATAGATGTGTTCTCACTGGTTCCAGCCTTAAAGGTATAGCAGAGGATCTATTTCTTCTCGGTGGATCATTTGAACCATTGGTCCACATAAGTGTCAATCATTCTGGTGAATCATTCACATAAGGCCGTCGTTGCACGTGTTCGTTGATGGGAAGTCTTCACTTCCTGCGCATGTGCAAAGCGAAGGTTGGGCTTCCCACAGACAACTCTGTTACCAGTTTTCTGCTCCACAGTTAGGCATGCTATCTGGAGAAATTCATTTCAGATTACTGCTAGAAGTTAGCTGCAAGGCCGGCAGTTACTTGTTAACCAGGGGCGGATTAAGGACTGAAGAACATCCGGGGCTTAACACACGCACACACACGCGCGCGCACACACACGTGACACACACTAGTCAACATCATATATGTCTTGTACCACATAATTTTTAATCTGAAGCTACATTTTAAGCATATTCAGGGCAGAGTATTGTTCCTGTTAGTGTTTAGTGTGAGATGATAGTAAATATTCCCTTTCTTTCTCCAACAACTTTACCTGATAAGCTAACTTTAGGCAAACCAGCAGCACAACAAATATTTACAAATAAGACTCACAAACCTGAGTCAACACCAGTCTCATCAAAGCTGGGGTTCTGTTGCCGTACTTTTGGTCTAAAAAACGTCCTTATGTCCATCTTCACTCATGCGTTTCAGGCAGAGACTGTAGAAGAAGCCGGCTGCTGAAGGGCTTCTTCTTCAGTGGTGGAGGCTCAGGCAGGCTGTATACAAACTACTGCCAGCTGCTCCCTCTCTGTTGGACTTTGGTACTGCATGTTACTTCCGCGATTTAGATCCGGGGCTTTTCATGAAACATCCGGGGCTTCAGCCCAAGTAGCCGGGCCTAACGCCACCCCTGTTGTTAACAGACCCGTGCATGAGGATAGCTGGGCATTCTCTCTCATGCTAATTTTTTCAAAACGTGAAGAGGGTGGTTCTTTCCTGAAATTCAGAAACCTACTCCACCGTAACTTCAAGTTAACAAAATAATTAGTCAAAATTTGAAAGTTTTGATAAACATATTCCACAACATTTAAAGAAATGCAAACGCAAATGAAAAACTGAACTTTGGCTATTTGTTATTTTATATCAAAAGCTGATCTTAATCTACTAAATTTCTCGACGTAATGTAAACCAGAAAGAACAAGAACATATATTTACTGCACATATTCTTTGGAGAAACAAACTGGGTGTTGGTTATTGCAGAGATGATTTGTCTGCTGGATAACGCAGAAATTCACTAAAGAGAAATTAAATTTTTCATTTCTTCATGTCTGAACACTGTGGACATACCCTTGTTGATGTATCATATTTTGAAGTAGCTGGTGTGGATCCCAGTGTGTAATCCTAGCTTTACCCTCATTTGACCTTCTCATATTCTTTGCCTGAATCAATGGGACAGTTGTGTGACACCTGGATTGTGAGCGTAACTGATACCCCACAAGAAGTCTATTTGACCTCAAATGGAAGTTGTTGGATCGGAAATGAAGTTTACCAGTAGAATCCCAAAATTAAGAAATTAAAATTAAACTAATCTCTCATGTTAACAAGGACATGCTTAAAATGCTTAATGCAGAAATAGGGTAGATTTTCAATTGAAAATAACATTTCAGTTGCTAAATTGGGTAACATTTTTGATAATTACTAACGGTGAAAAGAATGAAATAGTTATGATGGGTCCTATCATATTTATTAACAAAATATAATTAAATAGTAATTTAAGAATGTTACAATTGCTTTTATTTTTATTTCATTCTTTTTAGAAAATCATATATGTTTTTGTATGACGTCGTCCCGCAACAGCGCTTTGACTTGCTTTGCGTATTCGCAGACAAACCAATAGAATGTTAGCATGTTCGTGGTCTGACCAATCAGAAGTCTTGGTATTAAAAGGGGTTTATTTTACCAAACCTGCAGGATTTCAGTCCTGTCAAAATTGATACCAGTTATACAGCTGCCAAAGTTTCATGTTTGTAGTTATGTCCCAGTTTATGTACGTCGCTGATATGTCTTTCTTAAAGTTTTCCTTTCTCTTTATCTAACGGAAGGTAAGGAAGGCGAAAATGGCTTTTAGACTACCGTAGCTTGTTCGGGACTAGCTAGCTCTCACGTTCCGGTTAAAAAAACATTTCATCTGTAATAGAAATACCGCACAAGCTTGCCTGAGTGCATCTTTTTGCTTTGACCCACTGACAAAATAGCTCTCACGTTTTAATTTACACCACGCTGTGACACTACTTGAGCAGTGTGAGCGAATGACACGAGATACACTAGCAACGTTAGCATTTTATACAGGTGTGATAAGAGGAACTTATTTTATATTTTGTTCCATTGCGCTGTTTAAATAATTAGCACACCTAACGTGGACGACTTTAAAGCTCAATATTAGGCTGTTACATAATACCGAAGTTTTGATTATTATTCAGTTCTGAGTGTCATATGTTTATAATTGCCTCTGGGTTTTTATTGTTTTTTGTCAATTGGCATCTCTTCTACACATATTTATGTAGATTATCTATCATCCTGAATGATCAACTACTAGAACAGTTACTAATTTTAAAACCACAAAATAAACCAGTCTGTTGTGTAATCAGAAGGACTGCACCTATAATTTAAAGTGTTTGTGTGTGTGTTTGTGTGTGGGTTGTTGTTGTTTTTTAACTATAATATAATCTTCTTCCTCAGGTGCACTTTACAATTATGGAGTTTTAAAAAGAATAGTGAGAATTTTGAGGGGAAAGGAGGCCTTTCCCCTCAACTTTGGTGGCTGGACTGCTGGCGGAGGAGGTCTGGGTTGTTTGCTTTTTGTAAATGGTTGGATGAAAACCTATTTTTGCTAAAACCTCTAATTGTACATATTTTGTATGTTACAAATGATACATTTTGTATTTATTGAATCCATGATGCCACTAAATGCTGCAAAACGCCTAGTTTGTGTCCTGTATTTGCTCGAGATGGTGGACTGAAGTAGGCACTGAGCTCTGGGGATGCTAGGGTGCGGTGGAACCTCAACACAAGCACAATTCTAGCACTCCAAACCATCTCTACCGTTGTTGAATACTTTTTCCATTGGAAAATTTTTGTGATCTGCAAACATTTATTTAGTGTTATTGGATTGTTACAACACACCCACTGATTTAATTTTTGTCTATTTGCATCTGTGGGTGGTGGGCTTTCACAAGAACTTTGCTATTGAAAGTTAGAGGGGTTTGTAACACATACTTGCTCGAGATCAGGATGAGTCTGGCATCGTCAGACTGCACTCTTAAATGCCGGTCACAGCAGCATGCAGACCAGGTAATCGCAGCACTAACTAGTGGCTCTGAGGGGAAACTCCGGGCATTCTTGACCTCACACTGCCACAATGCAACCAGCTTGCGGGACGCCTCAGGGCGTACAGCCCTTCACCTTGCAGCTTCACTGGGAAAGAAAACCTTGCTGGAGTGGCTCCTGGAGAATAAAGGTGCTGATCAGATGGTGAAGGACAAGGAATCTGGCTGGACCGCTCTTCACCGCAGTGCCTTCTATGGGCAGATTCACTGTCTCATATCATTAGTCAAGGTATGTGTTGATGGTGGATCATCTTGACTACATCATGTCATTTGTGATGTCATGAAGGGTTTATCTATTTTAAACTGGCAATAAAAGGTTAGGTTGCCTTCTATGTGAAAGTTAATAGGGTCAGAAACTTATGTTCGTTTAGATTCTTCTTTTGTTTTGCAGCATGGTGGCTCTCTCTCCACTCAGGATAAGGAAGGTCTCTCTGTCCTGGACTTAACAATGAAGGATCGACCAGCGCATGTTGTTTTCAAAAACACTGGTAAGAAATGCTGAAAGGTTACTCACTGTATTCTATTAAATGCATTCTTTCACACTTGCCCAATATTTTGTCTTTTGGGACATTACAATTAGCTTTCAAAAACAACTCCCAAAGTACTTGTTTTAATAGAGAAACAAAGCTTCCTGCATGCAGAGAGTGTTATGACTGTGTTTAATGTTACTTTTCTCATTACAGATCCAACAGAAGTTTACACGTGGGGAAACAATACTAATTTTAGTCTTGGCCACGGCAACCAGGAGAGCCGGCACCACCCAGAGCTCGTGGATGTGTTTGCCAGAACCGGAGTTTATATCAAGCAGGTAAGCCACTGGCTCTCTGTTGTGCCATCTTTCAGGGGAGCAGGACTCATAATTTCGTACAGCACAAGGGCTTCCCCCACAATGAAAAACACTCAAATTTGTATCCCTCACACCTCATTAATCAGGATGGTGCCAAAATGGTTTACATCAAAGTAAAAAAAAAAGAAAAAAGAAGGAAAAACACCTGGACCCTGGAGATAAGATGCAATTAGGTTGAACTAGCTAACCACTCCCTTCTTTTGAGCCTTGAATTACATAACCCACTCCTCGGGCTTCATCAGCATGTTTTTCATTTAGAGTTTACTTGTGTTGAGCTTCTTAATGTGCAGCTCTGGAAATAAACCTTACAGACTATTACTTTTGTTAGAAATACACAAAATAACTATGTCAGGGATTATGAATGATTAGTGTGTGTGTGTGTGTGTGTGTCTTGTCCCAGCTCATATAATCCTAATTGATTACATAATGGAGATGGCGTGTACACTGGTAACCATATTAGACATCTCCTTCCATGCAGTTGTCATTCTCACACATTAGGCAACACTAATGATACTAAATTCAAGTCAACTTTATTCATATAGCACTTTACAACAGCATGAAAGCTGACCAAAGTGCTTAACAAGCCAAAACAAAAACAGTTAAAACAACAGCACTTTCCTATAATGCTGAACATAAGTTAAAGGTTCATTATAAAATAAATAAAAACATGACATAATAAAACAATAAAATTAAATAATTCTAACTGACTTAAAAGCGACTAAAAACAGATGCAGTCTCACAGCAAATGAGAACAGATGTGTCTTTAGAAGCGATTTAAAACCTGATGGTGAGGAAGCCGTCCTAATCTGAATTGGCAGTGCATTCCATAACCCTGGGGCAGCTACTGAGAAAGCTCTGTCACCCCTGAGCTTCCACTTTGTTCTCGGCACCTCCAGGAGAAGCTGGTCAGCTGACCTTAGTGACCAAGATGGGGAGTGAGCAACTAAAAGCTCACACAGACACTGTGGCAAGGCCATGTACATCTTTAACCCCTTAAGCCCTAGGGTCTTCCTTAACAGGCCCAAAACAACCCTCACACTACAGAAGAAATAGTAATAATTCCCATAAAATTAATCAGCAAACCCAGCACTACAAGGCTATCTAAACCATTTTTACCATTAAATACCATTTTTACAATTTTTCGAGGAATAGGCTTCTAAGTAGGCCTAGGGCTCAAGGGGTTAAAGCCAATAGAAGCACCTTGTACTGAACCCTAAAATCAACAGGCAGCCAGTGCAGCGAAGCTAAAATTGGGGTGATGTGATCCCTGTTCCACGAACCCGTCAATAGGCATGCTGCTGCATTTTGCACCATTTAAAGACAGGAGAGGTGAGACTGAGGGAGACCAAGGTACAGTCATTTACAGTAGTCAAGGCATGATGTAATAAATGCATGAATCACTGTCTCAAAATCATGAATTGGCAGCAGATGCGTAACCTTGGCAATCCTCCTTAAATGGTAAAAACTAGATTTTGTTACAACACTAATTTGCTTGTCCAAAAGTAAGTCACTGTCCAGCCCGACTCCCATATTGGTCGCTGCAGGTTTCAGAAATGGGGCTAGTGGACCAAGGTCAGCTGAGCATGGCCCACTGGACACACTGGGGCAAAAAAGCATGACCTCAGTCTTGTCATTATTGAAGTGTAAAAAAATTGCGGACATCCAGGTTTTAACCTCATCGAGGCAGTTTAGGAGAGGATCCAATTAATTAGGTAGGCCGCGTTTAATGGGAATATAAACCTGGGTGTTGTCTGCATACAAATGGAAGGAACACCCATGTTTCATAAAAATAGAATCCAGAGGTAGCAAATAAAGGGAGAACAACAAAGGGCCCAGCACCGATCCTTGAGGAACCCCGCATAAGAGAGGCGAATGAGATGACGTGAAGCCACATAAAGACGGACAAAACAACCTCTCAGCCAAGCAGGACACAAACCAGTCCAATGCAACTCCTCGAACCCCAACAAACTGTTGTACCCACGAAATCACGAGACTGTGGTCCATGGTGTCAAAGGCAGCAGACAAGACCAACAGCACCAGAACCACAAAATCTCCAGAGTCAGTAGCTGAAAGAATATCGTTTAAGACCCTGATTAGTGCGGACTCTGTGCTATGTGCCTTTTTAAAGCCTGACTGGAATTTTTCACCAATATCATTTACATTAAAAAACTCAACCAATTGCAAATACACCACTTTTTTCAGAACCTTGGAAAGGAATGGAAGTTTAGAAATAGGCCTATAATTAGACATGGTAGAGGGGTCGAGACCGGACTTTGTGAGTAGTTGCTGGACAATGGCATGTTTCCACGATTCTGGAACCGCATCAGATGAAAGGCTCCTATTAACCATGGTAAGAACCCAAGGGCCCACAGAGGAAAAAAAACCCCTTAAACCCCTTAAAAGGCGGGGAGGAATCATATCAGTAATTAAACCTGAAGGTTTTAAGGGTTTCACGATCGCCCACAGGCAATCCAGAATCATTGGTACAAATTTACAGAACGTTGAAGGGAAGCATCCAGCAGAAATCTGAAGAGGAAATGATTGTATCTGAAAGGATAAAGGATTTACGTGGTAGGAGCTATTGTGTCATTTGTGTATTTAAGAATCTACAATGTGTGCCTGCTAGAGATACAATGTGCAAGTTGTTTATCTGACCAGCAGAGAGTATATTTTTAAAGGGGTGTGGTGGGGATGGGGTGCAGGTAGATCCAATATCATGACCACACAATGACCCAGTGGCACAGAGTGTGTTCTTTGTCTTCATAAGCTAATCCAGCAGGTGCTAGAGGTTAAATATTAATTTCACAATGATGTGTTTTTAATTAAATGAGCTATGCCCGTGTGCCTGCATGTGTGTGAATGTCCACATCAATGTGATACTTCAGGAAACATCTCTGCGCTCTATTGAAGGCTTGAGGGGAGCGATGTATTAGTAATGATGTTTGCTTTTCCACTTGTGCTCTGGCCTTTTATTGGCACAGTGTTTTACTCTCACTACATGGGGGCTTGGCTAAAGGACACGAACACGAGGTCAAACGATGAGTCTGATCAGCTCAAATGGATATTTAAGAGTTTTTGTTTACCATAGCATATTAACACTAAGTTAAAAATAAAAATTCTCCAAGTCTCATTAAATTTTTCCCTACAGGTGGTCCTGTGTAAGTTCCATTCTGTGTTCCTGTCACAGAAAGGACAGGTGTTCACTTGTGGACATGGGCAAGGAGGGAGACTTGGTCATGGAGATGAACAGACTTACTTGGTGAGATTTGGTCTTGTCAATATTTTTACAGTTTTTCATGTCCCATGCACTTTAAATGCTGCAGAGTATTACATATTGCGTATTTAGGTATGTAAACACGTTTTCTTACACCCTGCTGCATCTCCAGACGCCTCCAGTGGCAGTAAAAGAGCCTTTTTGTGCTGCCTAAGCTTTATTAGTTTAACTGGATTTTTGATTAAAGAGAATTTAAAGTGGTCCTAGAATTCAAAACCACAATTAGCTTGTTGAATATAGACAGCCTGGGGTGTCTATAATAGAATACCCAAAAGCCTGAAAAGTATATGACCCGCTTCCCTATGTAAGTTAGGCTAATGCTCTAATGGCCACTGAGTGTCTGTGTTAATTTTGACAAGAAAATTTAACATAGTTTTGGTCTTAGTCTTTTGACCAAAATTCTTTGAAAGTTTAGCCAACATTTTGCCATCCCATTTGTTTTTATTCTTATTTTATTCCACTAAAATAGGGAGCAATTTTAGTCGACTAAGTTAAAATCGGAATATTTGAGTAGAAAATTAATTTATTTCTTCTCAACTTCTGTAATAGAAATAGCAACTGCACCTACTTGAAACTGTAATGCAATATTTGAAAAATTCACATTTCACACTTTAGATCAATAAAACGCTTTATAATTATTTTAATAACAATAATTATTGGAAAATACCAAAATGCTTGTTGACAGTTTGGAATTGTGCTTCTCAATATTAATTCAGGTAAACAAATCTGAATAAGAAATGTTTATTTGCTACGTATAAATCAGAAACAAATTTATTGTGACATGTTTTAACAAATAAACCATAAATCGTTTATACTATAAATTAGGGCTGAATGATTTTAGGAAAAGATTGAATATCTGTTGCAGTTTTAATTTGATTTGCACTTTTCTTCAATTCCTAATGTAAAGTAACATTTGTAAACAAGACAGGAATGGCATCATTCAGTCAAAACTTCAACGCTATTACTCTATACAAGGATGAAAACTAACCATACCACACATCTTTATTTGTAGAGTACTTTTAACACCGCATTACAACCGACCAAAGCGCTGCACATAAAAACAAATAAATGCAGCTAAAGTTGAGAATTGTTTTCAAATGATTTATTACCGAGTTTTCCCTGCACTATTTTACCAAGGCAGGGTGTTTTATCTCACAAACACACCACTATAACACCAAACTCTGACACGTTTAGCATTTTTACTATGGTTTACCATAACCCAGCAAAGGTTTGTGCTATCAGATAAAAATCTAATGGATTTTGAAAGAAGAGAAGTTGCGCATTCAAGTTTATATTGGATTAATTTAGTAAATCTCATTCAGCTATAGCAGCAAGCAGGTGCTTGAATCCATCTTACACTCATTAACGGAGCTGAGCATCAGACAACCACTGTCATTAATAGTATCGCCTGTAGCGGTGCCACTTAAAAAAAAGGAAAGAAAAATGACCAAATTTGCTGCTCCGCCATTTCAGTTCGCCTTCAGCAACCCCTCTTCCCCTACCTTCACCAACTTTTCATTCCATTTTTTAAACCAGGGGAAACCCCAGATGTGTACTACTCACTCACCAAGCAAATATGTTTCATATGGTCTCATTGAAATGCTTTTCCTCCCAGCCGTGGACATTTTCTCCTTTTAGACATCAACTGTTCAACTGTTGTCTTACCGGAAGCTTGTTCAAACAGCGGCTACCTCCAGACCCTAAGATATTCTGTAATCTGTTTACTTGGTAAAAACACAAATTATATTTTCCATTTTCTTTTTGATTATTTTCTTGTTCTTCTGGTGTCCAGGTCCCCCGCATGGTGGAGGGTCTGATGTCCCATCACTGCTCCCAGGTGGCAGCGGCCAAAGATCACACAGTGGTGCTGACGGAGGAAGGATATGTTTATACATTTGGTCTCAACACCTTCCATCAGCTGGGCCTCGTTCCCCCTCCTGCCTCAGCACATGTTCCCAAACAGGTGGGAACAATTTTGACCCCTTCCCTTATTTCATAAAAAATGACTTGCCTATGAAAATCTCTTTTTTACTTCCAGTGGTTATTGTTTTTGTCTGTAGGTGTTCTCCAAAATGCTGAAAGGTAGAACAGTCATTGGAGTAACTGCTGGGAGGTTTCACACGGTGCTGTGGACCAGAGAGGCTGTCTACACAGTGGGGCTCAATGGAGGGCAGCTGGGTAAGTCTCCGAGGCTCGGATACATTTTGCAATAATGATATGGCCAAGATACTACTTTTTAGGGCAAGATCTATTATATTTCTGGTGGAAAATCATGAACAACAAAACTAAAATGAACTTTAAACAAATTGGTGTTTTGATGTTCAGGCTGATGCTTGGCTGTGTTTGATCTTTAGGATATTTGCTGGATCCTAATGGAGAGAAGTCTGTGACTGCTCCCCGTCAGGTGTCAGCTCTGCACCATAAGGATGTTAGCATAGCCATGGCAGCAGCTAGCGATGGAGCGACTGTGGTTGTGACTGAAAAAGGGGACGTTTATCTGTTGAGTGACTACCAGTGCAAGAAACTGGCTTCAAGGTGAATGAACTGTTGGAGGTTTCACACAGAGCTAATCGGAGACTAGTAGTTTTTAAAATTAATCCAAAATTTTGACTGGATCCTTCCAGACAGCTAAACATTAAGAAAGTCCTGGTTAGTGGTGGCAGTCTGGACCATCGTATAGATCCACAGTTACTGAACGAGGGAGGAGGGGAGAAAGTGTCCATCTTGGCATTGGATGAGGCTGGGAGGGTAAGTGACGTTTATTCATTTAAGAACATTTTAACTACTAAAATATAAAGCTGAAGTTTGCTTTCACCTCTTCCCCCTTTTTAAAATACGAGCACACGAGAAAAATGCATCGTATTTTTACCTTCGCTTCACTTTTTCTGTTGTTATCTGATCCGCTCTACAGAGTTGACAGCAGCACCTTCTAAAAACAGTCTTTCCTGAAGGGTTTCTATAGACGACAGTGATGAGTAAGACTTGTGTAACTGCTCTTTTATTCGTCCCGTCTCTGTCAGGTGTTTTGCTGGCGTTCCTCTGGCAGCTCAGTGAGACAGTGCAGGTGGGCGTATTCACGTCAGGTGTTCATGTCGGACATTGCTCTCAGCAAGAACGGCATGATGTTCGTGACTCCTGATGGGGAAGGCTTTAGTGGCCTATGGGCTGGAGAAAATAAGAAGTACGGGGAGAAGAAAGGTGAGGACGTGAAGAGATGAATAACTGCTCTCACAGTCAGACATGTCATTTGTTATTTCTCATCAGATGCACAATGATCTTCTGGAATTCAGATCGTCTGATTTTGTTGTTAGATCTATTGAAACCTTTAAGCAGAAGATGTGTTCACATTAAATAACAACAGAATAAACCTTTTTTCAATTCAGTTTATTTATATAGCACCAGATCATGAGTTTTCTCAAGGCACCTCACAAAGTAAACATTTCAATTGAGTTCAGTTCATTAAGCCAATTAGTAAAAAGTTTCCTGTGTAAGGAAACCCAGCAGATTGCATTGAGTCACTGACTAGTGTCGGAGACACATGATGAGCCCAGATGGACCCTGTTCCAGAGTGAGGGGCACTAAGGTGAAGTGATGCACCCATCATGCCTAGTGCCTACTGTACAAGCCTGTGGGGGCAGGGCCATGATCTGGGGTTGCTGCAGTTGGTCAGGTCTAGGTTCAGCAACAGGATGTGCTCCAAAAATGAGGTCAGCTGACTACCTGAATGTATTGAATGACCAGGTATTTCCATCTTCCCTGATGGCACGGGTATATTCCAAGATGACGATACCAGGATTCATCGGGCTCAAATAGTGAAAGAGTGGTTCAGGGAGCATGAGGCATCATTGTCACACATGGATTGGCCACCACAGAGTCCAGACCCTAACCCCAATAAGAATCTTTGGGATGTGCTGGAGAAGGTTTTGTGGCTGGCCAATACGACAAAGTACAGCCCCCTATTTTCACACGTTTAGCTCGAACCAATTTCAGCATAGTAGTTTGTTGATTGATGAATAAAATTAGAAAAACAATATTTCACATGTTTCATCACCTAACAACAGTGGCAGAGGAGTTGGTGCCCACCCAGTATCCGAAGGGTCACAGCTTTGAATTAGAAGGTGCTGAATCAAATGCAGACTGTTTACCATTTAACCAAACCCCGTGGTCTGCTTCTGCCAACTGATTAAACATGGTTCTGACTGGTGGATGGTAGCACATCAGAGACTCAATATTAGATGAGAACATGTTAAGTCCCACATTTCAGCAGGAACTGTGAGATCGCACACATTTGTTGTGATGTTGATGCTCAAACGTTACATCGTGCAGCTCTAAATGATATGCAGCTTAAATGAAATTAAAGGAAAATTTACAATTTGGAAACTATTTATTTTATTTAAATATTTTTATTGGCATGTTTTTTATTTTACAGAAATCAGTGTGGAGGTTTCTGGTCACTCAGACATCATCTCGCCGTATGAACGAATCCGCCTGGAGAAGCTGCCTTTTGTTCACAGAGCTGTCAGCATCACGATGGACTCCAAAGGGCGAAACTTTGGTGTTCTTCAGGCCGACCCTAAAACCAGGTGCCACGTCTTTGTTAAAACATCCTAAGTAGTTTTTAACACTTAAACCAATTCCTTTAAAATGTGGGTACAGTGTAGGTACTAACTTGACTAACTTCACTCTGGACAGCACTCTGCAGCCCTCTGCTGACAAGAAACAACACTTAGCAGTTTTGTGGAGAAGGTAGGTGCCCTAGGGGGTGCACTTTCATGGTGGAGCTTGGAAGTGAAAATCAGTTGTGTTTATGGAGGAGAAGCAAAGAGCGAAAACCAGAGTGAACATTGTCACAGCCTACACTCATTTAATGAAGCTAAGGGAGTGTGCTGGAGAACATTCTCAGTCATTCAGGGCATGGTAATCCAAAAGAGTTGAGAAAATGGTCCACCCAAAAGACAAAACATCTAAACAGAAGCTTAGCGGTGTCATTGCTGCAGTCCAGTGTACTGTAGTGAGGACTGTCCAGACCTTTACATAGGGGAAACTAAACAACAACTACACGAGCGCATGGCACAACACAGGAGAGCCACCTCTTCAGGTCAAGACTCTCCAGTGAAGGACAAGGGACAGACTTTTTAAGATGACAAAGTACACATTCTGGACAGAGAAGATGGATCGTTTGAGAGAGGAGTGAAGGAAGCCATTTGTATTTGGTTTATTGAACAAGGACAGCACAAAAGACAATGTTACATGTAGTGGTGATGCAACTGTTGTTTTGTTCAGAGGTGGTGGTTTGCAGTCTCTGTTAGCTACTCCTCTGGTTGTAGCTCCTGTGCTGCTGGCTTTTATAATCGGTCTGCTCACCAGCTCTGGGACAAGACCATTTATACATTTGAATGTCAGTTTTATGACAGGTTTTCCCATCTGTGTCAAATGGGAAAAAACAAAATTAAATAGGGGAGGAGAATTTAGATTTCACCTTTCCAGTACCCATAATTTAATCTAGGTCACACCTTCCTGCATCTACTCAACAATTCTCCCTCACAATAGAGGCTAACAACTCATCGGGGGTAGGGAGCACGGGTATTCAGAGGGAGTTTCTGCTAGTTAGGCAACAGTAAACGGCTACAGTTTATAAGCGTGACCCACCCATATTCCAGTCAGAATTGACAAAACTCCTCGGATGAGAAGTGCAACATCTTCAAGAAACCAAAGAAGTCCAGTTTCCTTCATTTAAGCCCTTTTGGAAGCTAAGGGAGTCTTTGAACTCATGGACTGATCGTGGTCTAGTTTTCTTGCTACTGGACCTAAAGACAAAAAATAATATGATTTCCAAATCATAGTATTTTTTGTCCAACAGTGTGAATCTTTTTACTTTGGCTTATTTAGTATCGGTTGGCCCATGTTATTGCTCGTTGTTGGTGCTGGTGGTGGTCGGAGGGACCGGTGGTGCCAGTGCTCGGCAGCCTCGCCTCTGTCAGCGCGCCCCAGGGCAGCTGTGGCGACATCGTAGCTCATCCCCACCAGTGTGTGAATGTGTGTGTGAATGGGTGAATGACTGATTGTGTTGTAAAGTGCCTTGAGGGGTTCCAGGACTCTAGAAGGCGCTATATCAAATACAGGCCATTTACCATTTTGCTAACTACAGCAGGCTGCTGCAGGGTTGTTTATGACCGTTGTAGTTCTAATCTCAACCAGTAGGGGGGAGAGCAGAAAACTGTTTAGTGTTACTTTAAAGGATTGCAATGCTGCTTAACTCCTCTTTAAATGACTCTTCATTTATTCATCTACTTTCTCTCTAAGTGGCAACAGTGAAGTTGGTGTAGGTCAGATGTTTCCTATCCTGGTCCCCCTGGATTGTGGTCTCGCAAGTTTTCATCAAGCTCTAAAATATCTAAAGCATGCTGGATGGTGGCGCTTGAGGATATAAATTGGACATCACTGGTGTAAATAAAGTTTTGCATTTTAGAAAATCCTCTTTGGAAACACAATTAGTGTTAGGACAAAAGCTGATGCAAGTGGTTTCTGTACATTTCTAACTTCATTTGTTTCTAGAGAAACACATGGGGGTGTGTGAAGTCTTTATCAGTAGGCTCGGTTATCAGTGGGTTGTTCTGAGGGGACTGAGTAATTCCAGTTTAATGATGCTCTCTGTAATGAAAAACATAATATGATCTGTTTTATTTGCTGCTCAGTGATGAAAAAAATGACTTGTAATTTCAGAAAGTCCCTTTTCATCTGCCTGGAGATTTTTGGTTGTTTTAATTCTACAGCAAATTACATCTTCAGGGCACCTCCTTCTGCGTTATCTCCTGTTGTATTAAAAATGATTGGTTGGAAAAATAATTTTTTTCTTCTTTTCCTTCCAGCTTGTATGAAGTTCCAAGCATCTCTCCATCCTCTTTCTCCCAACACTTCCGGAGACTTCTGGAGGAGGCGGATGAGATGGATAACATCCACGATGTGACTCTTCAGGCCAGCGATCGCAACTTTCCCGCTCACAAGTACATTCTGTCCATGAGGTCCGAGTTCTTCAGGAAGCTGCTCCTGTCTGAGCACTGCGGGGTTAACGAGGAGCTCGATAAGGAAGTGAGAAGGAGTGAAGATGCCGTTGGATGTGATTTACTGGTTTTGGAGAAAATCCCAGCTGACATGCTGGAGTATGCCCTGCATTTCATCTACACGGACTCCTGCGAGCTGCTTGTGCACGGAGTGCGGCCAAGAGTCTCAGGGGTGCCAACAGGACAAAACCAGGTGAGGAGGGGAGATAAATCAGGTTTGGACATTTGAAATAAACCCACAGCAGCAAAAGTTTGATAAAGTGTTTCTTTGTTTTGGCCTTTTATTGTCCTGGGAGACCCGGTGAGCTCTAACTTAGCCGGGCTTATTTCATTCTGACTCTGTTGTTTTGGCCAGGATTCAGAGAGGCTTATCAGCAGTCTGCAGGACCTGGGTCTGAGCGGCCGCTCAGCCCTCGAGGTGTACCGCTCCCTCTCTCCCTCAACCAACGGAGGAGGTGATAAGCCCAAGAACAAGACCTCCAAGCCCAGCAAAAAAGGGAAGGGGGGCAAAAGTGACAAGGCTCGAGCCAACGAGGGGGGGGCCAACCCCGTGAAAACCTTACAGACAGTGGCAAAGAGGCTGAGCCTGGTCAGCCTGTCGGCACGGTGAGGAGATCTGTGTTCACTAAAAATCAACATCAAGAATAATGTTTACCTTTAATGATCTGTGTGCATTCCTTCAGACTGGAGGGTGTCAAATACGAAAACGGAAAAATTAACGTCATGCAGAAGAAAACTGGCAACAAACTGAAGTTTTTCCAGAAAAAATGGTTTGTATGAGAGTTGATTATTAGTGTCTGTAGCCATGATTTCTGGTTTAATTGGATAAAAAAAAGAATCAAGAATTTAATGTTGTTTTTGTTCCCAGTTCCTATCTTTGTGATGTTACTTTGAAATCTGACGATGGGAAAGAGTTTCCTTGCCACAAGAGTGTCCTCTGTGCCAGACTAGGTAGGACAGATGTTCAGCTGCAGAGATGCAAACAGAACAGATGCTTATCGTTTCTGGTCAAATGCATCTGCCATCTATTCATATATTTGCTGCTTTAAATAAACTTATTATAATTTGCATAAAATTGTAATATAAGAACTTTTATCATAACTTAGTTGAGATTTTACTTGAATATTTGTGTTTTTGTTGTTGTTGGAATTGAAGATTATCAGATTATTTCAAACTATTATAAATAAATTTGTTTTCTTCTACAGAATATTTTAACAGCATGCTTGGAAACCCCTGGATTGAGGTAGAACAACACTTTATTTCCTATTGTTAGATCCTTTACCGGTAACCAGTGCGAGCACGTTCACCTTCACACACACACACACTCTCCTGCTGATAATTGTCTCACACCCTTCAGGCAACATCTTGCTCTGCACTAGAGATGCCCACCAGCTCCGAGATCCTGCAGGTCATTCTGGAGTACGTTTACACAGACGAGTCTCCCACCATCAAAGGTATCTTTGATGATGAATCTCAGGGTTTATTTTTTTGGCTGGAATGTTTTAATGATCGAGCTTTACTCTTTAACCTGTTCTCTCTAACAGAATCCCTGAATGTGGAGTTTGTCTGCAACGTTCTGGTTGTAGCCGACCAGCTGCTCATCACTCGTCTGAAAGAGATGTGTGAGGTTATCGTCACGGAGAACTGTACGTTCCTCACACAGCTCCTTCAAGTTTGAAGTCATGTGAATGCTAATGTTTTCCTCAAAGTTTTGTCTGCAAATAAACATAAATAATTTATTAATTAGCATAGCATATTCAGACACTTTATGGGTTAAATTTAAAACAAGAACCAGATAATGTTTTTCACGTTTTATCATTCCATGCTTTCGTTCTTTTTAAACACAGAAACAGTTTTGTTTACCTGTTTTGTAGCTACAGTTTCGCTGCCGGCTTCTTCAGGCTGACGCTGATGAAGAAGCCGGCAGCCGTCGGCGAAACTATAGCTACAAAACAGGTAAACAAAACTGTTTCTGTGTTTAAAAAGAACGAAAGCATAGAATTAGAAAGACACCGCAAGAACACACCTAAGATTTTCACGTTTTAACTTCCTATTTAGAATAAAAGGTTTTTGTATATTTAAGGTGAAACAGTAAACATAACATGTCATTTATAACCTTTTCCCTCCACAGTGACACTAAAAAATGTTGCAGAGCTGCTGGAGTTTGCCACCTTGTACAATGCAGAGCAGCTGAAACAGTCATGCCTCCAGTTCATTGTCCTCAACATGGCCGCCTTGCTGGAGTCTAGGTGAGGATTAAAAAAAATCAGCGTAGTTAAAACTGTATTTTTTTCACAGCAAATCTGTTAAAATAATTTTAATTAACTGATCTGATGGTTTTAAGCAGCTACTCTACGTGTGTGTGTGTGTGTGTGTGTGCATGACAATCCTGATGTGTATCATGCCGCTCTAACAGAATAATGTTTTCTCCTTTATTGACCTGTGTTGTACTCAGAGCTTTGGACATTCTCAGTGATGAAGTGCTCTTGGAGCTTTCTGCATCATACAGGAGGATGGTGAGTCACTTTCCACCAATAGTAACATACCAGAGGATTTCAAGACTTAATGTGTCCTTATTCACTCCTCAGATGATTGTGAGGAGGCTGAAAACCCATTATCGTGGTCTTTAGTGGTACATCAGCACTTGTTGCAGTTTGACAGAAAGAAAGAAAACAATCTTTTACATAGCGCCTCTGAAAATTAAAGAAATCAAGAGGCACTTCATAGAAACAAAAAATTTAAAATAAAAAATAATTAAAAACATTATTAAATATTTTTTTTATTACAAAAAAATGACAAAATTGTGATAAAAAAATTTAAGGAAAGGGAGAGAGAAAATGAATAAGAAAGAGGGAAATCAGTGGATCCCTGGAAAGTTGGAATAGATAGAGCAGAGTAAGGAGAGGGAGGTGATGAAGGCCACGCAAAAGCCAGCCTGAACAGGTGAGTTTTCAGCTGCTTTTTAAAGGAGACCACTGAGTCCACTGATCTCAGGTGGAGAGAGTTCCCGAGTCTGGGGGCCGGCTGGCCAGGGAACGCCTTAGGATTCCCCTGGAGGAGCTGGTCCAAGTGGCTGGAGAGAGGGAAGGCTGGGCCTTTCTGCTTAGGCTGCTTCCCACATGACCCAACTCCAGATAAGCGTCCGAAAATGGGTGGATGGATGTTCATTCATCAAATGTAGTGAATGAAGGGGAGAGAATTGTCCGCTCATCACTGCGGTGCTCACGCCCTACGGTAGCGTTCGGTTTTACATGTGCAGTTTGACTGACAGTCACTCACTCAGATACTTCTGTACATGCCACTGCTATTATTTCACTACCAGTGCAGAAAAGTCTTCTTACGATGTTGATTTTCCACTGAGGAGTTTTTAACTCGCTTTCTCGTATCTCATAATCTCATACAATAAAATAGTGGAATAGTTGCAATGAAATAAGTCTGAGATTTTTATTCTTTAAGTCATATTTTAAATAAGTCATCATTGTGCTCTTAGCAAACTTTTAGTTTTGTTAGTTTTAGGGTTGGGCATCGTTTGATTTTGAACGATTCCGATTCCCTCTTCCCCACGACAGATCGGCTCAGCGTCCGCATCACTGCAGACGCCGAACCAATCCGCCTGTCGATCTCCCGATCCCTCCTACCCTCACTCGTGAACAAGACCCCGAGATACTTAAACTCCTCCACTTGAGGTAGGACCTCTCCCCCGACCCGGAGGTGGCAAGCCACCCTTTTCCGGTCGAGAACCATGGTCTCCGCCTCCTGGACGCCTCCCTGGGGAGGTGTTTCGGGCATGTCCTGCCGGCAGGAGGCCCCCAGGTCGACCCAGGACACGTTGGAGAGGTTACATCTCCAATCTGGTCCGGGAACGCCTTGGGGTCCTGCCGGAGGAGCTGGTGGACAAGGCCGGGGAGAGGACAGCCTGGAGCTCCCTAGTTGGGATGCTGCCCCCGCGACCCGGACCCGGATAAGCGGAGGAAGACGACGACGACGACTATTCCGATTCCAATTCCACGTTTCAATTCCGGTTCCTATTGATTCCTGATTCAGATTCTTTCAAGACATTCCATGTTTTGCACGAGCCAGCTAACCACAGGTCCTACTTGATGAAATAATCTTAACTTCAACATGAATTTTAATTCTATGAACAATAACATCACATTCATTTAGACAAAAACATGTTTTGGAGAAAAAAGAAAAAGACTTGCAGCACAACCAGTGTGTTTGTTTCTGACCACAACCAAAGTCTGTTAGAAGCCTCTGGGATGAGAGGCTAAATGTCTCCATCATATCCAGAAACGTCCAGCTGTTTTCCTACCTGCTGCACCCATTCAGTCAGAACAGAAAGTGAAACTTAAACGTAGCTGCAGTCATTAACAATCTAACAGATTTTAAACATTAAAACTCTCAACAGATATAGTTCAGAAAGGAAATAAAAATGTTATTTATTATTATTATTTATTGTGGCAGAAGCTAGTGTGGTCCACCACAGAGAAAGCTTCTCTAGCATGATGACTTTAATTATTCTACAGGCTATTGTTCAGCCTTCTGACGCTCACGTGTCTGACTGCTGACGCTCCGTGTGTGTTTTAATTTATGCAGTGAGACAAACTCACCTCACACCGTCCAGAGTTTGTTCCTTAAAGCTTCCATTAAATCCACCATGTTGACGTATTTTAACAACTTTCCTCTACTCTGCAGGAATTAAAGTTTACATCACAGAGTAAAAGTTCGACACACACGTTTGTTTATCATCTGGCCGTTGCACGCTGGGTGGGGGGAGGGGGACTTGGTGCTGCACACAGACAGCTGGTGTGATCGGCCCTGAAAAACGTTGATCACAATTTAAAGATCACGTTTATTTTTCACAGAGATCGGCCACAGATTCCTCTTCTGTCGGCATACTAGGATTCAAAACTAGGAATCGGAGAAAAAAAAAAACTGAGCGATTCCGGGAAAAACTAACAGTTGGAACCGGTTCCAATCGATGCTCGATGCCCAACCCTAGATTGTGGAATTTTTACCAGTCCTGCAACTCCTGTTTTAATAAATGCGTAAATGAATAAAGGTATCAGGAATTTTAATCCCTGATGTGATTATTTTCTTCCCGGTGTATGATTTTGTTTCAGATCCCAGCAATGCAGAGGCGTGTCATCACCCCGTACCCGGGCGCACCGGACCTGACTTTCTACGAGGAGGATTTGGACTCGACGTTTAGCCCCAAACCAGAGGCAGAACTGGATCAGTCTTGCAGGTACTCAGATAGATGTGTTCATGTCTGACCTTAGCGGTGTGATGTGGACCCTACAGTAACATTTATTAGTTATGACTTTGCTGATGTAAAACGCCAAAGAAGGTTGTGTCCCTCTAATAGGTTGACGAATATTTTTAGAATAGAATTCAATTCAATTCAAGTTTATTTATATAGCGCCAAATCACGACAAGAGTCGTCTCAAGGCACTTCACATAATAAACAATCCAATTCACAGTTCATTAAGCCAATCAGAAATAATGTTTCCTATATAAGGAACCCATCAAATTGCATCAAGTCACTGACGAGTGTCAGTGACTATACAGCAATCCTCATACTAAACAAGCATAAAGCGACAGTGGAGAGGAAAACTCCCTTTTAACAGGAAGAAACCTCCAGAGAATCCTGGCTCAGTATAAGCAGCCATCCTCCACGACTCACTGGGGATCAAGAAGACAGCAGAGCAGACGCACGCACACACACACACACGCACACACACGCACACACACGCACACACACACACACACACACACACACACACACACACACACACGCACACGCACACACACACAGAGAGAGAATAGACTTTATTGATCCCACAGTGGGGAAATCCACTTGTTACAGCAGCACCAACACTTAGAATAACTTGAAGAAAAATCATAACAAAGGTACACATAGGCAGTAGTTACTCTTACTGCAGAGGGGATGAATGACCTACGGTAGCGTTCTGTTTTACATCTGGGATGTCTCGGTCTGCCTCTGAAGGAGCTGTCCATGGTCTCCACAGTGGAATGCAGTGGATGGGAGGGTTTTTTTTTAAGATGATGGTCATCCTCACCAGCATCCTCCTTTCACACATCTCCTCAACTGAATCCAGTGGGCAGCTCAGAACCGAGCGAGCTTTGTGAACTAGCTTGTTCAGTCTCTTCCTGCCTCAGTCAGAGCTTTAGCACTGAAGGTTAATATAAAAAATCAGACTGAATTAAACTTTACACCCATCCTGTGATGCAGTGTTTGACTGGATGCTAGCATGGTGTCAGCACCAGTGTAAACGTGATTCTCTCAGGAGCATCGTAAATGTTGTGAATGTTGTCCGTCCTCAGGGAAATCCTGCTAAAGAAGGCAAAGATGAAGGCTAAAAAGAAACCAAGGAGACGCTCTGACAGTTCAGGAGGTTACACTCTCTCTGACATCATCCAGAGTCCTCCTACTGCAGGTGAAACTTGATGTCCGTTTCTGTTTAACAGCAGCATGCTGTTGGGTAATCTGACACATTGTCACCAACATTCCTGTTGTCCAGCGGTGTCTCCGCTCCTGGTGAAGTCAGGCAAGGCCAACTCCACCGAGTCCCTGCAGGAGATCCTCACGTCTGACTCTGAGAGCAGCTTTATGGGAGTCGGCAGTCCCAGAGATGTTCAGTCACCTGTGTTCCCTGACCGAGCTGAGGTTTCTTTTACATATTTAAGATTTATGCTCACAGTGTGAAAATCTAGTATCTAATCTTTACATTTGATGCGACTTGGGTAGCTTTAGATGTATTTAGTCATTTCTGAAGGTTGGATGTTTCCAACCCTGTACAGCTGGAATACAGATCACTGAGAGGATAGGTGTGGGAGTCTGAAGGTTTTTATTATTCTGCAGGATGACAGAGCTTTTAGTCAGAGACTGAAGAGCCCCCCCAGCACCCCAACATCCCTGAAGAGCAGCGTCCCCACACTGTCCTCCTCCACTCCACAAATTATTCACAGGACTCTTCCCTGGTAAGGAAGGTTCTAAAGCTCTGCACATTTATAAACACTTCATCTTATTACACTAAAACAAATTAAAGTTGAAGATTAAATAGTGGTTGCAGCACAACTTGTAATTTCTGTAATTCTGCCATTTTGCATGTTTTTTTAAAACAGGGACTAATTTCTACAGTTTGATAATTCAATTCAATTCAAAAATACTTTATTAATACCAGAGGGAAATTGATTGCTGTGGTAGCTCAGAATAATAATAATAATCAAGTCATCAAAGAGTTGTTGTATATTACAATGGCTGTTGGCAGGAAGGATCTCCAGTAGCGGTCAGTGTTGCAGCGAAACTGAAGAAGCCTCTGACTGAAGACACTCTTCTGTTGTCGGACAGTCTTGTGAAGAGAATGCTCAGGCTTGTCCATGATTAAATAACAGCGTCCTTTTAACCGTCTGCAGCCCAACTCGTGCATCCCCAGTGTTGGATCTAAGGACCATCATGGACATGGAGGCCAGCTTCCTGCAGACTCCTGGTGCTTCTCCTAAAAGTCCTGGAACGTGAGGAGGGGGTTGACTGCTTTTATTGGATTTTTTTTAACAAAGGATTTTATTTGATTATGTGATAGTTTACTTCAGCTGTACATATTTACCCGTCTGACAACAGCAACATCAAACACTCGCTGGTTTCCACTAAACTGTCCCAGAAGCAGAGGAAGCTGTTGGCCATGGCCAGCAAGGAGGCCAGTGGGGAGCCTCCAGCCTCCAAACCAGCCCCCACAGGAACTCCGTCCAGATGCAGCGAGAAAGCCTGGTGAGAATGAACGCTGACCTTTTCCAACAACTATCCTTTTGATATGTTGATATGATCTACAGGTGGATTCACTTGCCAACCAGCATTCTGTAGTGCTTATATATTTGTTTGGTTTTTGTAGGGCGACAGCTGTCCAATCCTCACCATCCTTGTGTTCATTCCGGGCTCTTCTGGAGGAAGAAGAAAACTGTTTAACAAGAGAAGGACAAACAGGAACACAGAGAGGCCAAAGTGCCCTGGGCCCCCCGGTCAGCGCCACACCTGCTGCCAGGAGGGTCACGTTAAAAAGTACAGAGAGCAGCGAGCCAGAGAGACCTGCAGGGTGAGCAAATCCCTTCTACACAGCAGACGTGGAAATAAAAACAACACACACACACACACACACACATTGCACAACTGAAGTAAAAAAAAAAACATTTTTTTGTTGTACTTGTTATGCTTAATTTACATAACTGCTTTTTAAAAAGTGTTTTAACACTTTTGAATGTACACAGATCCAAACCAAATTATGAAATGGATTATTTTTGCCTGTGCCATGTTCTTCTTTGGTGTTGGAACACTAAAGCAGAAAGAACTAAAACTACTTCCAGAACAGATCTCATTTCGTTCTGTACCTATGATCTCCACTTGAAGGTGCTGTTGAGATGTTTGAGACTTCTGTCCCTTGATAACATCAACTTTGCACATTTTTTATATTTTAGTCTTTCCCCCTAATCTCTCACCCATAAGTTATTATTTTTACTTTAGCTTCATTTTTGTGTCTGAATGAAAACAGAAATATTATGCTGTGGTGGCATAAATGTTGTTTATTCTAGACTGGAAAAACAAAAAGGGATGTGTGTGTGTGTGTGGATGTGTGTGTTTTTGTGTGTTTGCTTTTATATGTTTAAGTGAACTTTAACCTGTATTGTATGGACATTTCCACACTGTGGGGATATTTTGCTGGTCCACACAGTGCTGGTGTGAATTGGCTTCTAGTTTGGATTAGATTCGGGTTATTGATAGAACCACATTGGTTAGGGTATGGGTTAGACTTTGTGGTCACAAAAATGAATAGAAGTCAATGGATGGTCCTCATTATGACAGAAGTGTGTGTGTGTGTGTGTGTGTGTGTGTGTGTGTGTGTGTGTGTGTGTGTGTGTGTGTGTGTGTGTGTGTGTGTGTGTGTGTGTGTGTGTGTGTGTGTGTGTGTGTGTGTGTGTGTGTGTGTGTGTGTGTGTGTGTGCGTGTGCGTGTGCGTGTGCGTGTGCGTGTGCGTGTGCGCGTGCGCGTGCGCGTGTGCGCGTGTGCGCGTGTGTGCGTGTGTGCGTGTGTGCGTGCGTGCGTGAGTGAAAGAAAGAATTTGTTGACTAAGTCTGGTTAGACAAATAGAGTGAGGTGTGGTGTTCCACTCTGAGAGGTGTGTGCAGCTCTGAGTGACCGGTACAGCTGGGTTGACCTGCCTGCAGACCCAGAGTCACTCTGACCTTTGCTGACTGCTAGAAAAACACAGTAAACACACACCATACACCCTGACATGCTAAAAGTCAGCCCTGGTTTTTATATGCTTTTATTTTCTGATCTCGGCTGTTTGAGACCAAAAGCCTAAAAAAAAAAAAGAAAATTCCTCAGCGTGCTGCCATTTCTGACGATCTCCGTTTATTTAAGGTCTTGAGAGAAAAGCGAAGGCATTTCCAGTATCTTATTCTCACTGCTGTATTCCTAAAGCTTGGTGCTGCGATGATAAAAACAGACTTGTGGATATTAAACAGCTGTGAGATTCAGTCAAGTGAAGCCGCTGATGTTGATCAGAAATGATGAGGGCAGTCCTCATGTCACTGTGGATCACACAGAGCAGAGAGCACGTTTCAGCTCTTCCTGGGTTTTTGGATGAGCAGAGACAGACAAGTTCAAGGCTCAAGAAGGACCAGCAGTAGTCAGCCTGCTGGGACAGATATAATAGAGATCCCTTTCCAGTCTTTGATTTGACCAAACGGCAAACACTTTTATTTCTTATATGATCTCTACAGATGTACCTTTTGGCCATATTACTACACTTGTCTTATGTATAGCACGAGACCCAACAGGGGCCAACAGGAGGCACTCTGACCAAATGCTCGAACCACCTTGCCTAGATTCTGTCCACGTTGAGGTGCCGTGAGCCCGCGACTGTACTCTGTCTCTGCTGGATGTCTGAGCTCCTCACCCTGTGGCTGAGTCCAGCCATCCTATGGAGGAAACTCATTTTGGCTGCTTGGCTTTGCGATCTTTATGCCATTACTCAGAGTTCATGACTGTAGGTGAGGACTGGGATCACCATAGCGTCCCTCACCATAGCAGACCGGTGAAGGAGCTAAGCCAGAAGCCCGTAAACACAGCATGCTATATGCGACTTCACTTCTTTGCACACAGGTAACTTCAGAGCTGTAGACTGGAATGGAGTCTAAACATGATGATGTTAGGATCCTCTCAAATCGAGGTATAGAATTAGATCTGAGCCTTAACATCTTCAGTGTGAACTTGTACTACTTCAGTATAATAGAGTTTGGGATTAAAGTTATTTACCACCTTCTGACTTTGATTGTGTTTGAACTCCAGCCGTTATCCAACACACAGGTTTGTAGCCAGGTAGAGACACGGACTTTACCTCATAGGAGCTTCTCAGGAACGGTCGACTCAACCTTTGCCAAGTCATTCAGACTCTTGCTGCTTTCACTCTAAATGCTCGGCCGCTGATGCTCTGTGTGTTGCCCGTATCTGCCCTCAGGCCTTGGGTGCTGGGTGCTGTGGGCAGCCCCCCCCTCGCCACCCTGGTGACCTTTGCCTCCATCGTGGAGGAGGAGAAGCAGCAGGAGGCCGCTCTGGTCCGCAGCCGGGAGAAGCCGCTGGCTCTCATCCAGGTAGGCGCTCATGTTCTCACACCCTGCTGAAGAGAAGCTTCTGCGTCCAGCCTTAAAGCAGAGAAGCTGCTGTCTGGTTAATGTTATCCAGTAAACAGCAGTTCTGGTCAGTAATAAGGTCCCTCCAGTGCTGCTCAGCTCTCTCTACATACAGGCTGCTGCCATCACACACCCCCTCCCATGGGACTTCCTAGTTATCATTATATTAAAGACTCTTATTACCGTTAAGCTGTCAGCATTTATTATTTTTCCCACCAGCAAGCTGAGGTTTTGCTGAATGTTTCATCTGATTCCAGCATCTGTGGCTGTTCTTTTCTTCGTAGATTGAAGAGCGAGCCATACAGGACCTCCTACTCCACTACAAGGCACGGGACAACCCAGATGAGCTGATAGTAGTGGAGACAACTCCCAGAGGTCCCATGGCTGCCCCGACCTGGCACAAACACTGATCCATTAGTTCTGTTGAACGAGGAGCTCGGAGAGAATCTCCCCTTCTCTCCTCAAGTGTTGCTTTCATCTAGTTTAATAGCTGCACAGAGTTTCGTTTATGTGATGGAAGGTTTTCTTTCAGAGGTTAGTCTCTGACCATCTGATTACTCACGCATCGCTCGGCAAAAACTACACATGGTACGGTCAGCAAGTTTAGGTTCATGGAGTCAAATGAAGTTGCCAAAGATTGAGAAGGAAAGTTGATGCTTAAGCAGCTAGAAAATGCTCAAAACTCAAACACAAAGTGTGTGTGTGTTTTTCTGTTTGTGTGTGCGTGTGTAATAGGTGGAAGTTCCCTGTGTGATTAAGAGTGCCATTGCCTAACTGGGTATTTATCTGCTTTACCTAATGAGTTATTTTTCCTGACCTGTTTGGCTCTTCGCCACAGCTGAAACATTTGCAAACGTTTTCCTTAAACAGGAATTTATCACAGAAAATGCTAAAACAATTTGGTGCAGACTTGACCGTCACTCTTAGACTTTGATGCCATTTAAAATAATGATATATTTATCTTGAAAAATCCATTCAGTTGGACCACCGATTCTCCTGTTTAGATGCCATCTTTGTGTTTGTTCACGTGTCTGAGACCTAAAGATGTGAAGAGAAGCTGGCATGCAATAATAAATCATCTCAACTGTGGAATGAACCTGGCTCGTTTGTATGCTTCCTAATAGGTTTGAGTGATTTGAATGAAGGTAAAAAAAGAAAGTACTTGCGTCAGTAATTTGCTACTTTTACAACATCTGTCCAGAATGAGAGAAAGATCATTATCAAGTCTCCACCCGTGATTAACTCTGATGACCCTGATCTCCACGGAGAGCCAGGTGATTAAAAGTAGAGCATCACATCTGAAGTCAGAGAGGCGGCTCATGAGGGAAATGTTAATCACAGATTAGGATCCATTAGCCAGCGCATGATGAAACGTTAAACTAACAGGACAAACTCTTCCTTTTGACATCACACTAATGCAGCGTTAATATTTCTAAAGAGCTGCTCATTCTGTTTGTGCCCTGAATATCAATGCAATCTTTCAAGTGTCAGAATGAGTCTGTGGGGCTCAATAAGCAACTTTAAGATGATTCTGGAGAGTCTTGGTACTTTTGTGTGTGTGTGTGTGTGTGTGTGTGTGTTTGTGCGCGCAGATTCTACCTGCAGCTTCCTAAAATCATGTGTAAGTAAACTCAAGCTGATTTTGTTGAGGCTAAAGAAAGCCAACGTGATGGTGCCTGGGCGTTCTGTGTGTTCTTTAAAGTTTCAGTTGAGATCTTCCTAAAGAGACCACACTGCTTGTGTTCTGGTGGAGCTCTAAGCTGAGGATGACCATAGGCAAACACCTGGGTGTGGATCAGAGATGCTCTGTGTTCTCTAAGCTGAGTTTGACCCATCTATTCATTGCATGATCCTGCTTTTCTGAGAGCGAAAGGTTGCATCAGGTCAAGGTTATTTCTCTCAGAAGCTCTGGAACAGAAAAGCATTAGCAGTCCTGATATGGAGCAAAGCAATCCAAAGCTCAGAAGGAGGTTTACTGTCAGGCATGCAGCAGCTGATCGTGCAGCTAAGGCCTCCACGTGGAACACCCCATTACAGATGGGAAAATAAATGTAACTGACTTTAATTGCTTACATTTTTTTGAGTTTGTTCTGATCTGCAAAAATTAGTTCTAACCTGCGCCCCATACTGAAGGTTAATCTAACAGTTTCTTTTCCATTGCAACAGAGTCCAAAAGGGCCTTTCGAGGTTGTTTGCAAAGCTTGCAGACCTGCTGATTCTTGCTAATTAGAAAATACATTTGAAGTCGGTGTGCTCGTGGAATGGCTGCCTTTTCAGCATGGACCCCCTCCCTGCTGGCTTCAGTCCTGGACCATCAACACCACAACCATCAAATCACATTGGAGCTATGTCTCCAAGTGCATTACATAAGCTCCACTGATATCAATTTGCAGCAATTCAAAGACTACAGCAGCTTAATGCTGTATCTTATTTTTTCTTAGCAGATGCCCCACATTATTCCCATCATAAAGACTTATAGACTCATATATGAATGTGAAAAAAATGAACATTCAATAACTTGGTCTGAGGTGAATAGTTATGTTTATTACATGATCCTAAACCGTTTAAAGCGAGATGAGAATAATAGCCATAATGTTACAGGGTTACAAGTAACTTTGGTGTAATGAACTAAAAAGCATGAGCAGTTGTCAAATCATCTCAACAAGTCTGTCTTGGGCAATCTTATTAAAGTTTTCATAGACATAAATATGCCCTACAGCATCATATTAAAGTTGAACAATTATCCAAGATTAATTTTAGATTGAATTGTTGGTTCTACATTTATAAATAACATATGAACTCAAATTCCATCCATCCATCCATCCATTTTCTGCAGCTTATCTGGAGTCAGGTCGCGTGGGCAGCAGCCCAAGTCGAGATGCTTAGATTTCCCTCTCCCCAGCCACTTGGGCCAGCTCCTCCGGGGGAACCCCAAGGCGTTCCCTGGCCAGCCAAAAAACATAGTCCATCCAACGTGTCCTGGGTCTTCCCTTGGATCTCTTTCCAGCTGGATGTGCCCAGAAAACCTCACCAGGAAGGTGTCCAGGAGGCATCCTGACCACATGCCCGAGCCACCTCAACTGGCTCCTCTTGATGTGGAGGAGCAGCAGGTCTACTTCAAGCCCCTCCCGGATGACCGTGCTTCTTACCCTATCTCTAAGAGAGAGCCAAGCCACCCTGCAGAGAAAACTCATTTTTGCTGCTTGTATCTGGCATCTCATTCTTTAGGTCACTACCCAAAGCTTATGACCATAGGTGAGGGTAGATCAACTGGTAAATCGAGAGCTTTGCCTTTAGACTCAGCTTTCTCTTCACCACAACAGATCGGTACAGCGTCTGCATCAATGCAGATGCAGCACCAATCTGCCAATCGATCTCATGCTCCGTTTTTCCCTTACTCATGAACAAGACCCCAAGATACTTGGACTCATCCACTTGAGGCAGGACCTTGTCCCTGACCTGGAGAAAGCATTCTACCCTTTCCCAATTTAAGAACGTGGTCTCAAATTTAGAAGAGCTGATTCTCATCCCAGCCTCTTTACACTCAGCTGTGAACCGCTCCAGCAAAAGCTGGAGATCACTGTCTGATGAAGCCAATAGAACCACATCATCTGCAAAAAATAGGGACTTGATCCTTAGGCCACCAAAACAGATCCCTTCAATACTCTGGCTGCGCCTAGAAATTCTGTCCTTAAAAGTTATGAACAGAGTCGGTGATAAAAGGCAGCCTTGGCGAAGTCCAACTCTCACTGGAAACGAGCCTGACTTACTGTCGGCAATGCAGACCCAGCTCTGACACCGGTCATAACAGCCCTTATCAAAGGGCCTTGTACCCCATACTCAAGGATTAACCCCCACCCCCCACAAGGCCCCACCCCGGGGGACGCGGTCGATCGCCTTCTCCGAATCCACAAAACACATGAAGATTGGTTGGGCGAACTCCCACGCACCCACCAAGATCCCCCTAAGGGTATAGAGCTAGTCCAGTGTTCCACGGCCAAGACGAAAATCACTTATCTCCTTCTGAATCTGAGGTTCAAGTATCCGACAGACCCTCCTCTCCAGAACCCCTGAATAGACCTTACCAGTTTAGGCTCAGAAGTGGGATCCCCCTGTAGTTGGAAAATACTCTGCGGTCTCCCTTTTAAAATAGGGGGACCACCATCCCAGCCGCGTTAACCAACACACCCCAACAACATCCAGACCTTTAAGGAACTCAGGGTGGATCTCATCCACCCCCGGGACCTTGCCACTGAGGAGTTTTTTGACCATCTCAGTGATCTCGGCCCCAGAGATTGGAGAGTCCGATCCAAAGTCCCCAGACTCTGCTTCCTCACTGGAAGGCGTGCCAGTGGGATTGAGAAAGTCTTTGAAATATTCTGTCCACTGATCCACAATGTCCCGAGTAGAGGTCAGCAGCACACAAAAAACAGTGTTGGTAGTGCACTGCTTTCCCCTTTTGAGACGCCGGATGGCTAACCAGAATCTCCTCAAAGCCATACGATAATCTTGCTCCATGGTCTCACCGAACTTCTCCCAGGCCCGGGTTTTTGCCTCCACAACCACCCGAGCTGCATTCCCCTTGGACTGCCGGTATCAATCCACTGCCTCTGGAGTCCCACAGGCCAAAAAGACCTGATAGGACTCTTTCTTCAGCTTGACAGCATCCCTAACCGCTGGTGTCCACCAGCGGATTCAGGAGTTGCCACCACGACAGGCACCGACAACCCTGCGGCCGCAGCTCCGGTCAGCTGCCTTAACAATAGAAGCACGGAACATGGCACACTCAAACTCAATGTCCCCCGCTTCCCTCGGGACATGTTTAAAGTTCTGTCGGAGGTGGGAATTGAAGCTCCATCTGACAGGAGACTCTGCCAGACTTTGCCAGCAAACCTTCACAATATGTTTGGGCCTGCTGGGTCTGACCGGCTTCCTTTCCCACCATTGAAGCCAACTCACCACCAGGTATTGGTCAGTTGACAGCTCCGCCCCTCTCTTCACCCAAGTGTTCAAGACATGCGGTCGCAGATCATATGAAATGACAACAAAGTCAATCATCGAACTGCGGCCTAAGATATCCTGGTGCCAAGAGCACATATGTTATGTTTGAACATGGCGTTTGCTATGGACAGTCATGCACAGAAGTCCAATAAAAAAAAAAACACCGCTTCGATTCAGATCAGGGGGGCCATTCCTCCCAACCACACCTCTCCAGGTCTCACTGTTGTAGCGTTGCCCAAATGAGCATTAAAGTCCCCCAGCAGAACAAGGGAGTCACTTGAAGGAGTGCTCTCCAGCACCCCCTCCAAGGACTTCAAAATGGGTGGTTAGTCTGAACTGCAGTTTGGTGCATAAGCACAAACCACAGTCAGGACCCGTCCCCCCCACATGAAAGCGGGAGACTGCCTGTCATTCACCAAGGTAAACCCCAATGTACAGGCACCAAGATGGGGGTGCAACAATTATGCCCACCCCTGCTCGGCGTCCCTCAATGGGAGCAACCCTAGAGTCCAACCCCTTTCAAGGAAACTGGTTCCGGAGCCAGAGCCATGCATTAAGTTGAGTCCAAACTATATCTACCCCGAACCTGTCATCCTCAACCACCAACTCTGGCTCTTACCCCACCAGAGAGGTGATATTCCACATACCAAGAGCTAGTTTTTTTAGTCGAGGATCAGATCGCCAGACTTGCCTTCAGCCACCACGTGACACACACTGTACCCGGCCTCCTTGGCCCCTCCCACGAGTGGTGAGCTCATGGAAAAGGGGATCTACATCTCCTCTTTGGGCTGTATCTCAAGTTCATGAGGAGCATTAGCATCTAATGCTAATCATCTCTTCCTGCCCCAGGTGGGTGTTGGGAACAGGGGGTGCCTGTTGGGGTCAGTGGGAGGGCTTAGACCCCCAGTCTTAACTTCTCATCCTCAGACATTTCACATGCACATACTGTAGGTCCTTGGGGTGTGGGTATGGTTCCCATCTCTGACCCGTGGTGGCCTGCACCCCAGTTTTAATTTGGACTTGAAACACTTCCACCAACAACATTCTACGCCTTGGGGGTGAGGACACTCGACAGCACCTGCAGCTGGGGATCTG